AAAATTGTCTCTAAAGTTTAATTTTTAGTATTAAAATAGTCATCAAACTTTAAAAATAATACTAATTTACTTTTTAAACCTTAAATACAAGTATTAACTTAATCTTTAAACTTTGATTACAGATATCAATTTAGCTTTTCAATTTTGATTATTTATCAATTTGATTTGTAAATGAAAATATATCCCAATAATAAAATATGATTATTTGATTTTATCCATCATTAATATTTAAAAAAACTGATTTTATGACAAAATAACAACTTACGTGATGTTTTTGTTATCAAAAGGACCTTTTGATATTAAAAATTAAAATTGAAGGATAATTTTGATATGAATTTTAAAATTAAGGGACCAAATTAATATTTTAACCATTTTTCTACAAGGATTACTTTTCTTTTATTGTAACTCTTTTTACCTTTATTATTAATAGAATATTGCGATTCATTATTAAAAATAATTTTTTTAATATGTACCCCAAGTATTGGTTAAGTTGTATTAATTATACATTTTTCTCATTAATTGTTATAAAAAAATAAATTTTAATTTTAATTTTATCAATCCCTTAATTAAAATTGTCTGTTTGTTATTTGTGTTAAAAATAAAATTAATTTTTATATATTTTTATATAAATTGATAAAAAAATAATTAATTAATACATTCTTAACCTCATAATATGTATCATTACAACACATATTAAACAAAACCTTAAAAAACACTATCATATTTTTCAATTGAATAAAATTAGCTCTTCTATTTTAATTTAAGTTTAAGATGGAAAAAAAAAATTCCTGCTCCAACTTTCAAGGCATTTTGAACCAGTTTTTAAGTTGGTATATGAATGCTTGGCCCTTGGGTATATAACTAAAAATTGTGTCGTCCCAATTAGTATTAAGTTGTGCTAGGAATTACTTTCCCACAGCACTACACACAATGGTTTCAAAAGCAGCCGGAGTCTTCACCTCTTTATAAGGGATATATGCCACAGAGCCTTTATGGCTAGGAGACAATTGCCTCACTAAGCTTTTTGTGAAATATTACAAG